TTGCACATGTCTCTCAGCACCAAGGCGGCTAGCTGCCTTCTCGTTTTCATATACTGCTCATCTCTCCTTCAATAAATATAACTTCATGAATCCTGAAACTTGTACCCAGGTCTTTTTCCCGAGGTTACTCATCTATCCCTGAGTACATGCCCAATTATGACTCCAATCCAACCCACCACAGCATAGTCTTAAGCCATGAACTCTATTTTTTTTTAATTTCATGTCTCTGCGAAGACATTGCCTGGTATACAAACTTGAAATGGGAAGCAGAATATAGAGACCTGTTATCACAGTTGGGATGGACATTAAGTTGTAGTCATGGCAGATGATTTGAAAAATGATAGGGAACACCATGTACCTGCAAATGTCCCCTAAGGGAGGCAGAGCCTGCAAAGGGAGAATTTGAGAACGGATATTATATAGCTATTAGGACTGCTTTTATCTCTCATAAAATTCAAGAATTAAGTGTATAATTAATGAGAGCTTTTTTTGGAGAATAAAACATCTTAAAGGGTCACTTTTTCATCTCTCAAGCAGTTATACCTTATGGCATAGCAATGGTACATCAAACCAGCAGGACAACCCACGACAGGAACTTTTAGCTTAAATATTTCAACCAGAAATCTTTGGCCTTTCCATCTATTTGCATTTCATATAATTTCAGTGCATAAAGTTAGCCTCACTTAAAATATTACTCCTCCTACAAGTAATTTTAAAAATACTATTCATTTTTTATTCCTCTCAATAGAATTAATGATGTTAGCTTTGCACTTTCATCTTCATTCACTCATTCATTCATTTTAAAAATTCATTCTGCAGTCACATATTTGATAGATGCATACTATGTATCAGGTTTAGCTCATCACTGGTGATTGATATAAAAGTGAATCAAGTAGGTCAGATTTCAGAATCACTATTTTTTGAGAAATAGACCTTAAATAACCATAGACTACTTAATAATGAAAAATTTGCTTAGTCTCATTAATAACATCTGTTGAGGCTTATTCTGTGCCAAACATTTATGTAGAATATTTTAAAAGTATTAACTCACTTCATCATCACCATCCCCCCTGTGATGTGAATCCTTGTGGTATTTCCATTTTACAAGTAAAGTTAACTGAAGCCAAAGACATTAAATAATGTGGCATCTCAAAACACAAAATAGCTAGTGGCAGAAAGGACACTGAATATAGGAGTTTGACTTTAGAGTGTCTTAAGCCACCATGTTATCCTCCTCTTGTTTTGTTTTTTAAAGAACACTGACAACACATTAGTCAGCGGTCACTACATTACATACAAGTAGCAAACACACCCCAAGTCTTTTTGGCTTCTAACAATAAAGGTTTTTTTTATTAATTGCTCATATTAAAATATCTGGTGGGTCAGCTGCCTTCTGGTCCATATCCTGATCTTTCTGAAATCTAGCAAGAAAGAATACCTCCTTTCTTAGCTACACCAGCCTTGGAAACTCCTCACGAAGATGGCATCAATTTTACTCATATTTCCTTGCACAAAGCAAGCTCATCATAATTGGTATCAGTGGGGAAGGGGCTATGGGGCCTATCAAGGTGAGGTCAGAAGGAAGGGTTTAAAAAAAGTAAGACAGCTCACAATAGACATGTGAAAGGTGTCCGGAACCTAATCTGGAGTCAAGGAGAGCCTGAGGCAGTGCTGTCTCAAAAGAGTTCTAATGGATGAGATGTGGCTACTAAAACTATGGTCCACAGAGAAAATTTCATGCCAGAGAAAAATCAAATATAGTATTGTTTGTTCCTTTGTTTTGTTTGTCTATATTTACATGAGTAAAAGGAGTCTTTCTCCTCCTGACTTATTTTGCCTAGCATAATCTTCCCAGTTCCATCCATGTTGTCACAGATGGCAAGAGTTGTCTTTATTTTTATAGCTGAATAGTATCCTATAATGTATCTTTAACACATCTTTTTGATACATTTACCAATCTTTAGGCATTTAGGTTGTTTCCCTAACTTGATTTTTATACATACAAGAACTGGGGTACAGGCCAGAGGTGCAGGGGGTAAGAAGACTCACCAGAGACATAGTGGGGAACAGAACAGGCCAGACTGACTGAAATACACTGCTGAAGGGAGTGGCAGGTGAGACAGGAGAAGTCTGCTGCACCATGTGGGTAGCACCCTGGCCAGCCAGGGATCCAACACATGCTGCAGAGACTGCGGACAGTTTCACAGTGCTGTGCTTAACCCCTTGTGCCACCAGGGAAGCTGCCATAACTTGATTATTGTAGATAGTGCTACAATGAAGATAGGAGTGCATATGTCTCTTTGGCTAACTGTTTTTGCGTTATTTTAGATTTTTTTGATATACCAATAATATCTTTTTTGTTCATTTTTTTTTAATTATGTTTATCTGGGCTTCCCTGGTGGCACAGCGGTTGAGCGCTGGGTTGCGAAGCTGCCCGCAGCCTCTGCAGCGCTGGTTCGATCCCCGGCTGCTCCCCGGCCACCAGAGGAGGGTCCCACATGGCGCACAGACCTCTCCTGCCGCCCGCTGCTCCCCTCAGCAGTGTACTTCGGTCCTTCTGCCTGCTCTGCTCCCCGCTCTGGCTCTGGTGAATTCTCGTACCCTCCCGCGCTTCTGACTGTACCCAGTGCTTGTATAAAAATAAATAAATAAATAAATAAAAATAATGTTTATCGAGGTAAAGTTGGTTTACATTGTGATATCTCCTTTGTGGGTTATAGGTTTAAAACTCTAAAAAATATATAGTAGTTACAAATACCATGAAATACAAGGATGGCTTTGTGAAGGACTGACAGAAATAAGGCTTATGTGAATACAAATGGCAAGATCAGCCTGAAATGAATAGGTACAAGTGAGCAGACCCTGCAGGCCTCGTTAAGGACCTGGATGTTTCCTTTTTTTTTTTTTTAATATTTTATTTTATATAATTCTTACATCATTTTTCATCTTTGCACAATGTATGCAATTTCATTTTGGTTATATTCCCCATACAATTGCACCCCCCCTTATTTAGACCTTCATCCTTCCTGGACCTGGATGTTTCTTACTCTGGGAAGGCACTGAAGTGTTCTACACAAGGGAGGAACATCATCACTCCCTGGTATTTTTACTGTTTCAGGAAAGGATCATTCTTGGTGAGCTTCACAAACCTAAAGATCTCCTCCTCCCCCAGGTCTTCTTAATAGTATTGTTTTAAAGAGAGAAAGCAGAGTTGTGTTTTCTAAATCACTCCTAGCAGAGCTTACTATCAGATTCATCCAAATATAGTGATTCAGAACAAGTAAGGAACTTCCTGCCTTTCACTAACAGAGAGCAGTTTATACCCTGTCACTTTCATGGTTTATATTCTCCCCAGTCACCGGAATGCTTCTATATTCCCCTCATCTTCCTGATAAGCTGAAAAGGGAGCCAGTGGTGACAGGCAAGTCTAAGCTGAGGCCCTTTGCCCTTTATAGTAGAGAGTGGAACTCAGCAGGGAATTGTAGTGGTATAGGATAGGGAATCTGTGCAAATTACTTCTAAGTAGAGCATTCAATTTGGGGAAGGTGCAGCCTGTGCTTCAGATGTTCAGCAGAATTAAATGCCACCGCCCTGTTGTTATAGCAACCATCATCATATTCTGATATGAATGCAGGTCTGCCCTGAGCATTCCGTGGAGAATTGCATCACCCCCAAAGTATGTGCTACTTGTCCTAGCCTGTCTTCCTACTACTCTTCAACCATTGACTTAGATGCTGGTCAATTGAGAGGAAACAAACAAACAAAAGAAAAAGTACCCACCATGTGTCCACTAGTTCAAAATCTGGATAAAAAGCTATCAGTCAGTATTTATATGTGTAGTGGAGAACACATTGTGTTTGTCAGGGTCATGCCGGCTCTATAACTGTGAACCATCTAAAGTCCATGTTGCTCTCCACTTAAGTGATTGTAGTCCATCCAGTGTGTCAGGTCACCAATAAGTGATCATTCAGGGAAACACCAGCCTTCCGTAGTAGGGGGTCTATTGCCCTTTTGGGCTTTTCTGTCTTCCCATTTAAACATTAGATGAGGAAAAAGCACAGAGGAACTGACATGGTGGTCTCTTATGGAGAAGTTATAGAAGGTAGCAACGGATTTGGAACACAGCTAGCCAGTCTCTACCATGTAAATTGCATCTTCATTTAATCTTAAAAATTGGAGCTAAATATAGTAAATTCTATGTTATGTATATTATACCACAACAACCACAGAAATTATTGGGGGAATAAGATCTCCAGAAATAATTTCTGGATCATTGAAATTTGGGGTGGGGGGAATACTTTGGTCGTCTCTTATTATTGAAAGTGACTTTTAATTAGTTTGTTTTCCTGTCTTAGCTATCATAACATTGTTTACAATTGTTGGCATCCTTATTGAGGGTCCAAAGGCTGATTAAAACTTTTAATCATTAAACAAAGAAAGAATCACTATCCAGTATTACAACAGTGAAGTTATAATATCTTTAATACTGGAAATTTATAATAGATTATATAACACTCCATGGACAGAACCTGCAATTGTGCTGCATTTAGTAGAGATGGATGCCTATTTTTTTAAAGTTAAAATTGGTTCTTTAATTAACATTGAACATTAAAAGATCATTAACTTGGGAACACTGGGAACTTTAGGTAGTTAGGATTCAGTTAATCAAATATCATTTTCCTAAGTTATTGACCATTAAACCTCCATGTGAAGGAGGTCAGGAAAGATTTAAATTTTCTTCTTTGCAGTGTGCTTCCAGATACTTTTCCTTAAAAATCACTTAAAGTTATACTAATTATGAGTAGATCTTATGTTTTCAACTCAACCCTCATCATTTCATCTATTTAAAAATATTTTTGTGTGCTTATAATATTCAAGCACTATGTCAGCCAATGGAAATATGAAATCCCAGACCTTGTGGAGTTTATATTCTATAGGGCAAAAGAATGTAACACAGAGGTGAAAACAGTTCATGGAAATCTATATCATGTTTGTTACAGAGAACGTAGCCTGTCTTGAACATGTAGAACCAGGAAAACAGCTGTGATCTGTGTGGAAGCAGCGGATAGTTTTAAGAAAAGGGTAAGTGAATTGGGAATAGTATTTCAGTCATTGCTGGCAAGGGCTCTAATTGGGAAGGGTTGTAGTGTAGCAACTGTAGAAAATGGAGAGAGAGAAGAAGGGAGGGAAAGAGAGAGAGGGAGAGAGATGATCTGATAATGGGGAGTAGGTGAGGCCAGATTAAGCATGGACTTAAAAACTTTGAAAGATTTTGGACTTGTTCCTGAGAGCAATGTGAAGCCTTCAGAATCTGGGAGCAGGATATCACTTACAATTTGGAAAGATGACACTGATTTGTTCTTTAGATAATACAACAGAAGAGTATCATGTAGGAGTCTATTACTTTTCTTCAGATGAACATAGCCCCCCAAAATGCCAAAATTTCACTAGCAAGGAAAGAAGGAAGAAAAGTTGGGAGAGAAAACATAATCATAGAAAATGTAGGACGAGGAAGGGCCAATAGAAAAGTGGAGGAACTAGGTGAATGATTAAACATACAAATGATTGTTTTCCCCAGTGTCAGTTTGCTTTTAGAAACCAACTATGAGGTCATAATCTTTAAATTTATTTTAATCTTCTCTGCTAAATTATACAAAAGGAGGATGAAATAAACCCATTTTCCATGGTTCCAGTTAGTCTCCCCACTCTGGAGTCACGAAAATTCATCAACCCCATGCTCTTATTACGACTACCATGTACCAGAAACTCTGCCAGAACCTGAAAATAAAGTCATGAAGAAAATATTTTGCCACTTACATATTACAGACAAGTTGGTTTCCAGAATGCATCTAGTCAGACAGTTTTATCCAACTGAATAATATGCCTTTCTACAATTTGGGGGTTGTTTTTTATTTTTATTTTTTTAAATTGAAATGCCTCTCTGTGTTTAGAAAGAGGTTGTTCTTAAAAATGTACAAAGTGTACAAGGATGGGATCCATCAAATACTTTGGGAATATTGACTGTGTTGGCATGTTGAAATCCTGGGCCCTGTATGCCTAAATTGGGAATACTCATTTTAGAAACCAAATATACAGGATAGGAGCTCACAATCTCAACTGTATGGAACATTAGAAACATAGAACTGCAATATTGAATCCAAATGTGCTCTCATTTTTTACCTGTTGTATATCCATAGTCTGTCCTGTTTCTCATCACTAACCATACCCCTTGTTTATCATCAGAGACATTCCTAACCTATAACTCCATTCCACTATGGAAGAGACAATATTATGTATCATATTCCTCACCTCACCCTCAAATGCTTGGATCTGTATTTCCCCTAATTCTCACCTACCATTCTCTACTTCCTCTACAACATTGCAATTTAGAACTCTCCCAAAAATGCTATAAATGACTCAGGTTAACAGTGACTCCCAATTACATAGAGTACTGGGCAATGTAAGCCCTTGTTTTACTTGGTCTCTTTGCTATGCTTGACAAAATTGACCACTCTGAAGATTTATTTTCTTCTTTAGCAACAATGAATCTTTATAAACACTGATTCTGTCTCCTTTACTAGCTGTATTCTCCTGAATAAGGCTTAAACCAACATTAATTATTTGTAGGGTTCCATTTTACATCAATATAGTCTTCTTAGCCTTATACTCTCCCCAGCTGACAATTTTCAAATATGATGTATAATCTATTTATGTACTTTTGACTGTCAAATTTTTTATCACAGGTTTTCACTTATCTGAAGTTTCAAATTTGTTCACATAAATTCCAATTCTTCAATCACTTTAAACTTAATAAAACCCAAACTGACCTTAACTTGCTCTGAATTATATTCACAGAACCACCATCTACTTATGTTAATAAACCAAATTAAAAAAAAAAGGCTTCAGCTCCATTTCTACAAAATCCACTTCTAATTGGTTGATAAATATCTTTGATTTTATCTCCTAAATATCGCCAAGTCTCTTCGTTGCTCTCCAGGGCTTCAGCATTATCAGCATCTCCTCATCTTTGCCTGGATTGTTCCAACAACCTCTAATTTGCCCCAACCTTTAATGGCTCATTCTTGCTTTCAAGATAAATTTCAAAGTACTTGAGATAGCAGAGACACTTCACTGTCTGGCTAATGTATCTCTTCTTTCTATTCTCCAACTACACGCTTAGCTGGCTTGTATTTTCTTTGTAATAATATTTCAGTGTTAATACTAGAATAATGTCACTTTCTGGAAATCACCCTTGTTTGTCTCTTGTAAACAGTTAGCCATCTCTTCCTCTTGGCACCTACTGCTCCACATGCATTCTTTTATATTATATATAATATTACATTGTAATAGCTTGTATCCATGTCTGTGGGCATTTAGAAAAACATTTTCTTCATATTTGTGTCCCTAGTATCTAGCACAGCCTAGGCTTACAGTAGATGTCAAATATTTATTGAGAATGAAAATATAGATTAAAAGATAAAATAATTAAAAAATGTTGGGAGATGTATTGGTGGCATATGACCTAATATCTTATTGGATTAGAATTTTAAAAGAATGTCTGTATGTTCCTAATACATACAGAGTTTTAAAGTCTGGGACCTTGATTCTTTAAACATTGAAAACTCACCCTTGCATTATTTAGAAATCCTTTCTGAACTCTCTAGCAATATTCTACTAGATAAGGTCATTAGCTCCATGCTAGAGATAATTGATGAGAGTGAAATGATAGCTCCATGTACATTAAGTGAGAATAAAAGTCAACACAATTTTTTGTAAAAGCAGTTTAGCAATTTATTTCAATAGTTTTTTTTTTTTAAAGTTCACATCAGTTTATCCAGAAATTTTGTTTCTGTGACTGTCTTATGGACCTAACCTCAGTTCATGGAGATATCAGGATTAAAGGATATTTATCATAGTGCTATTGAATGTATGAGGTCAGGTAATACTTGTGAGGACATAAATATAGGTGATCCATTTCTAAGAGAATTTTACATAGTCATGAAATTAAATATTTTAGGGAGTAATATAATAGAACTGTGAGGTATATAAAAATAGAGAGTGAGATCCTGTAACTGTTTTTGATATTTTGTTTGTTTATTTTTTTTAGTAGAAATGATGTATACTCTTGGTAATACATGCATGGAAATAAATTGGAGGAAAACATGCCAGAATCCATATGATAGTTCAGTATCATAAAAATAATCATGAGTTATCTTTAATCACATACTGATTTTGTACCTGAAAAAAAATCTATAAGTGAGTTTGTAATAGATCTATTCTGTTTGCCCACTTTCTCATGATGTCTTCTCAGAAAACTGAAACTGCTTCCACCCCTCCTGAAAGGTCAGTATCCTATATGATCCTGAGCTACAAATTGTCCCAGATTCAGTGTATATATTGGGTGGCTAATTACTTATTGCCTGAACAGGAAACAGGAGCTTGGCGAATGAAATACTTCACTTGGCATTTTAAAAATAGAATCTAGAAAGTGTGAATTGGTTAGTTTTTGGAACCAAATTACCAGTGTTATGATAAGGAAAGGGACAATGGATCCCAAGAAGGTAGAAGGAAACTACAGTTATGATATGTTAAGAGCACAAGAAACTGAGGTGTGATTTGAGAGAGAATTTTATTGGGCAAGACTCACAAGGCTGGACTGTGTACCTCTGAGCTTCTGAGAAAGATAGAAAGAGTCTTTTTTGATAGTTTTCCTGTTTCTGTGATTCCCGCATTACAGTTGTCTCTGCATCTCAATTTCCATGAAACACATGAAACACCTTCCTAAAGACCACTTGTGTCACTATTCTTTCCAAAATAAGACTTTGCCAGCTCATACTAATTTTTACATGTCTCATAGGACTACTTTGGTCCTTCCTTAAAGCACTGAGGATATTTGACCTTATAATACAACTGTTTTGATGCTATCAACCAATGCAGAGAACATTAATGGCCTTTGCCATTCTTTGCTGTTTTTTATTTTATTCATTATTTTATTCAATCAACAAACATTGGTTGACTGCCTCCCTTGTTTTTTCTAGGGCCGACCACTGTGCTAGGGCCTGGGAATGCAATAATCAAGAAAACAAATGCTTTCTCTCATCTTGTGGCACTTAAGAGTCCAGTTCAGGGAAATACATTTTGGTGTTGCATTGAATGAAAACTAAATTAAACATTATTCATTAAATTAGTTGGGAAAGTTAGATAGTTTTTAAATGTTTCAAAGTCAATTTCATCATATTTTATCTGAAATGAATAACTGGGAAAGCATTCTGATATGAATTGGGTCTTTATGACTTTTGAATAAAGTATTTTGCCATTCTCATTTTCTTTTTAGTCATTGCTAAAGAATTTTCATTTCTGCGGTCCTGAGAACCAGAGAAATATGGTATACAAAATTTTCTTGATCATCTGTGAATGTTACAAGTAAAATTTACAGAGCCAGACATGTAATACTGCTCCCTACTGTAGTTTCACATAGTTGTTTTATAAAATTTAGATACTCTAGGATTGTGGTTTTGATTGGTTTAAGCTTTGTGATTAAGGTTATTGAAAATTTTCTCACATTGTCCCCCATCATCCAAATTTGGAAACAATTAATACAAAGATTCATATTACTAGGGCACTGGTTAAATACTGTAGTATATTTGTACCATAAGCTATTATGTTGCAATTAAAAAAAAAAGAATAAGGTATAGCTGTATCATGACATGAAAGATGTTCAAAATATGTTTTTTTAAGATTTATTTATTTATGCATACAAGAGCTGGGGTACAGGCCAGAAATATGGTGGGGTGAGAGGATCCACCAGAGACAGAGTAGGGAACAGAAAAGACAGACTGACTGAAACACACTGCTGAGAGGAGCAGCGGGCGAGGCAGGAGAGGTCTGCTTTGCCATGTGGGCTGCTCCCTAGCCGGCTGGGGATCGAACTCAGGCTGCAGAGGCTGTGGACTGCTTCATAGCGCAGTGCTCAACCCCTGGCACCACAAGGGAGGCCCCAAAATATGTTTATATCCATATACTTATATCAGTACATCTGTATTTATGTCTAATCTAGGGAAAGAACTAATTCTTTGTGTGTGTGCAGTGAACATTGTATATTGTCAACTTACCATGTGTACCTTTTTCTTCTTGCCAGAATTCAAATTATCTTCAGGGATTCATACTTCTTCCATGCACCCCATGCATCTGCATGAACAGTGGCTCTGCTCAGGACTCTCTGTCTTGCCAGTGATTAATTCAGGAACATGATCCTGTAAGTCCTATATGCTATTAGAAGACGTTTCTTGGGAAACTTCCAAGAAAGTTATTCTTTCCCTTCTGGCATAGTTTCTGGGATCAGCTCTTTCTTTGTCAGGATGTAATGGTATATGAATAAAGCAACCAGAACTGCTAGAGCCATCCCTCTAAAAACTCAATGCACTGAGGCAGAGTTCAACAAGGAAGTACAGGCAGCATTGCCAGAGGCAGTGCATTAAGTCAACCTGGAAGCCTACATTTTTCTAGACTTTCAGTAAGATGAGCTGATAAACTACCTCTGTGCTCCAACTACCTCTTTTTGTATATTTAGCTTGTGGAATCCCAAAATTATTCTGAGATCATGCATACTTGTGTTTGTGTATAAGCACATTAAATCAATGAAAAAAGATTGGAAGAACATGTATTAATTAAGAAAGGAACATAATAAAAGTGGACTTGGGAGAGGATAAGGGCACTCTTCACTTTTTACTCTACTTTTTTTATTTTTTATATCATTGTTCATTTTTAAACAATATTTGCTTCCCTCTGCCCCCTCAGGTGTAGTCCCCATAGAGTTTCCTTCCCTAATGCACCCGTGCACCATCACCTCAGTCCCCTGTGCTCCTCCCTCCCTCCCTCTGATCCCTCTCCCTCCACCTCCTCTGCAGTATGTGTCTGATTTATAATTGTCTGTTTTTGCTTTGTTGCATTTTGTACTGTTATTATTTTTTAAAACTGATATCTTATTTGGTTCCCCTATATTCCTGCTATAAGTGAAACCATCTGATATTTTTCTTTTTCCTTCCGACTTATTTCACTGAGCGTAATTCCTTCTAGCTCCATCCACGTTGCTGTGAATGGCATGAGTTTATCTTTTTTGATTGCTGAATAATATTCCGTTGTGTATATATATATATATATATATATATATATATATATACCACATCTTCTTGATCTAGTCATCTGTTTTTGGGCATTTGAGTTGTTTCCAGGTATTACCTATTTAAATAGTGCTGTAGTAAACATAGGTGTACAGGTGGTCTTTTGGATCAATGTTTTTATGTCCTTTGGAAAGCTGTCTGGATGTTCCTCAGTCTACTAAAAAGGGAGCTACCATAAAACCCGACTATTCTGTCTACTTCTTTATGGATATTTGATGGATATTTAATGATCCTGTGTTTAAACATATATAAAATAGAAATATTAAGAAAAAGAAATTTTCATTGGCATGCATTTTCACTGTTCCCTTAGAAATCACACTATATGGTCTTCTAACTTCCAGCAGAATCACAGATGAATTCACAAGAGAATTTATTGATGAATATTTTTAAATTTTGAGAATTGGCAGCATAGTGTATGGAAAGGAGACAAGAAACAGTGTCAGGAGACTTGGGTTTTTCCCCTGTTTCTGCCGCTAATTCAGGTATCTGGCCTCAGGTAAAGCATAGAACCATTCTGGGCTGGTTTCCATCATGTATATAGTTTCAGAAGAATAAACTGAGCCATCTATTCTAAATATTTTCCACCTTTCTCTGATGTTTTTGTTCAGACTTATATCCAGCAATGAAATAGTTTAAGTTGGTTAAAGGCAAGGAAGGGGACCAGATGAATTGGCAATATTTCTAGTGAGTGCAGAATTGTTAAGTGTTGTGGCAGCTGAAAGTTGAGGGAAAAAACACATAGAAATATCATTTATTTCATTAATCTGTTTATTCTCAGGTTAATTTTAGTAGTGGTCATTAAAATAAAGATTGTAAAAGAAACTGGAAATTTTTTTTCTAAAATTCATGTTTCTATTGTCCTGTAGTTTTGAAATTTATTTTTGTAATGAATTCTTACATTACTAGGTCAAAACTGTGTTCAGTTTACTCTTAAACAGTAATCCATTTTTCTTTCAGTTGTCCTTTTTCCCCTCTTTTATTCTTGAATAAAAGAAAACATAAGCTTTTTCAATGACAAAATTAACTCTTTGGCAATCAGAAAAGTTGAGTATTTTCTTATCATGCTCTTGTTAAGAACCAATTTAGTAAAACAATTATTTACAAAAAATGTATTGACAGATTCCAACTGTATTTTCTCATCCCCTGTCATTTTTATTATACAAATAAGTGCATTTATATTTCTTCAGTATCCAACTTATTTCTGATTGTAATATAATTAACTTTATTGTTGACTTTTCTTTTAAAGCAAATAGTTGGGTGCTAATATTTTCTACAAGATGTTATTTTATAATCCTCAGAATTTGTTTAGTATACTTTTCTTTGGAATTGAATATTCTTGAGAAATAGTTCCAGGGAACTGAAGTCTCCAATGTGCAGATGATAAAGTGAAAGTCTTAAGTTGCTAATTATTTTTCCTAATTAGTTAGCTAATTATATGACCAGTCAGCCCAGATTTTATAATAAAATGAGACTTTCTCTATTCTCTGACTCTTTTCCCCTGCCCCCATTTTAGCTTTATGTTCTCCAAAGCATCATCCAATTCATTCTCTGGCAGAAATATTATGAAGTTAAAATATGTCCAGACACTTGCCAGTATTAATATAATGTGCTTCAGGTGAGAAAATGTAACTATTTCAGTTTCTAATATCCCTGTATTAACAATTAACACTCGTCTATTACCATAGAGAGGCTGCCAGGTAAATGAGATTACCGGAGCACAATTTAATACCTGGACTCCAGCAAAGTCCCCAGATACAGCAAACATACTAGTCAGAGTGATTATGATGCAAAGACACTATGGATACAGGGAAATCATCTCACATCCTTTCATGTGAGTGAGACTGCAGCCTGATCACACAGACCATGTGCAAAGCAGGGGAGAGCCTCATATGAAAAACAAATTCCCCCTGTCCTCATATGTCCAGTATAGTGCCCAGTCACCAAGGATGCCTAAGATTAAAGACCATGTCAAAAACCTCAATCTTGTCAATTGACATGGGATGAAGGAAGATTACACTGTTTTTAATTTTGAGATACTAAAATGAATTCTGGTGAAATAACAGAACCACCAGTATCATGGTGAAGCATGGATTCAGAAAGTTTTTCTTCTCAGCAAGCTGAGACTTAGCCAACCTAAAAGATGAATATCTCTTGACTGTCACTATTACTAGATACAGTAAGAATGTAGTCAGGCATGCATGCATGCAGAAGATGTGTTATGTATACATAATGGAATACTACTCAGCCATGTAAAAGATGAAATCATACCATTTTCATTAACACTTGAATGGACCTTGAGGGGATTATGCTATGTAAAATAAGTCAAAAGAAGAAAAATTAATACCATGTGTTTTCACTGATTTGTGGAATAGCAAGGAAAAACAATCAAAACAAAAGCCAACCCTTAGGCTCTGACAAGAAAATGATAAATACCAAAGGGAAAGGAGGCAGTGGGTTTAGCATGGTGGTGGCTGATAGCTAGACTTGAGGTGATGTGAAATATACAGTTGCTGAATTTAGAATCTATACACCTGAGTGTTGAAAACAAATTTAAAAAATTAATTCAGAATCTCAAAAAAGATTTAAAAAAGGAAAGTTGTCATGTCTCACTAATATGAAATGTAAAACTGCTCTGTGTGCCACTTTTCATTCTAAGTCAGGAAAAATAGGCATATGACAGGTAACTAAAGGACTTGTACTACACTCTTTAAAAATGGGGATTTCATTTAGCCAGATGCCCATTTTCAGCAGTGTCTATGCCTATACCAATGTAGCGTCATCTAACAAGACTCCTTCAAATACAGATTCTCAATCTGTTATTGTCTTGGAATTGATGAGCATCAGTGGAGGTAGATTTTTTACATATTGTGTTCTGTGTGGAGGAATTTCTTAAATAGTAATGCTATGTGCAATGCTAATTCTTTTGAAAGGTTAAAAAAAATTCAACGTGCCTTATATAACATGATCTATTTATACTCTGTCACTAAGGAGAGTCAGCTGCATTTATGTTCGGGGTGAACAGAATAATTTATTTGTACCTTCTCCTCCAATTGATCACTACTGGTATACTCAGCTCACTGACAACACTGAGTTAGGTCATCATACTTTTTCAGATGCATTGAAATGTTTGGAACTTAAATATTTAACATAAAAGGTTTAGCATAGAATTTCATGAACAGAGAAATTTAAGCACCAGAGTTTCTGTATCCTCCTCTAGTATTAATTAAAATATTAAGTTCCATCGGATGATATTATGCATGACAGCAGTTACTAAGAGACTCCTGCAGACTCACTCTCAAATGGGATATTTTCAAACTTCTATATTTTCAGCACTTGATAGTAACTAGTGAGGCCCATGTGAGGTTTTTTTTTAACCAATAAGAAACTCTGTAACTGACTATAAAACACATTATCATTTGTGACAGTAATATAAAATTTGAAGGGGGAGAATACCGATTCTGGATCACATAGCTTCTGAAGCCAAAATCTATGATTTCTTAAGACGTTTAATGATATCTCGTTCATTTGTGTGTGGACCCCACCATGACACAATCAATGCTACTATATTACATCCCTCTGTTCATTAGGTCACTCATAATTTTGGTATCTGCTTTTGCTATTCAGTTGAGTTTTAGCATATGCTTTCTTTGTAATGGAGGTTATTATGTGCCACACTGCAAGGAGCACATTAGATGATTTACTTCAACAAATCTTTGTAATGACTTCATGTGGAAAAGTCTGTCACTACCCTCACTCATGGATGTGGAAACAGGTATGGAAAGTTAAGTAACTTGCACATAGGATCTGAACCCTGACTTCACCTTCCAATTTCTTACTATCCTTTGTCCTCTCCTGGCTTCTCCTTCTGCCTCTACCCTATGGCAACAGGAACAGATGTGGAGAGGCAGACTTGGGACCAAGGGAAACCAAGGTTTGCCTAATGAAAGTCACTGATAAGATTAAAAATAAGTTATTTTGGAATTAGACTTTATTTCAGTGTTCCCCAATTTGTATTTCTTTCATAAATTTATATAGAAACAAGGAAGTCACTACTAGATATTTGGGAAATATTCTC